CTCGGCTTTAACATATTTTAACACTCAGCCTGTTCAATGTGTCTGTGTGGGTATAAAATAACACGTTTGCACTTTAATGGGGACAAAGTGGGTCGTAGGGTTTGACCGATATATTTTCATTACTCCACTATTTGTATTCCTTCATTTTAGCACAGACTGAGCAGAGATAATTAAGAGGCAGACAGAAAATTTATTAGAAGCTATTTAAAAAAAAAAAAGTTTAATCAATGAAAATCTGAAAACATGAGCTTGTTCCAATTTGACGCTTTTGTTCTTTTTAATTTGGGCTACGTCCACACTAATGCGTTTTCAAACAAAAACACATCGTTTTCTCTCGTTTTGGCCTCCCGTCCACACTGAGACGGCGTTTTACCTGAAGGAAAACGCTCTCGAAAACTGATACATTTGAAGACGCACAGTCTTCAAATGTATCAGTTTTCGAGAGTGGACGCACAACTCTGTGAAAACAACTGAAAACGCTAGTGTGGACGAAAACGCGGTTTTCAAATCTATCCGGGCTAGTGTGGACGTAGCCTTGGTGGCTACGTCAATTCTTCCAGGTGTAATCCAACCTGCAACTAACATTTCACCATTTTTTATTTATTACATTTTTAATTTTAAATGGTTGTGTTGTTTTAGGTTGTGGACCTCAACTTTAGACAAGTGATCTCAGCACTAAAGGCTGAGTTTATTTTTACTAGATATGCCAACTAATAATAAATGAAGAGAAACTGTTTTTATATCTGGGATGAGATTTGATTTCTGAATCAGCATTGGTAACTTTAAAAAGAAGGAACTTTTAAATAAAACTCAAACTCAAATTGTTAGAGCAAGCAGCAATTTTAGATCAAATCTCAGTTCCAGGGATGGGCGTATGATCCCTCAGATGCAGACAGATGGGACTTTTGGCACCCAGTTTGGTTTTCAAATTTGACTAACAAATTTTTCTTCTTTTGCATGCCCAGTGCAAAAAAAAAGGCACAAAATGAACCAAATGTAATCTCAAAACCATGATGGTGGTTTAGTAGAAAACCAAGTCTTGTCTGGAGATCCACAGGAAGCTGCCCCCCCCCCAAAAAAAAATAAAATAAATTTGCCCCATGCCTCCCAGAGGGTCGGCTGGTAAACTAGTCAAAAAATTAACATTTTAGCCGCTGCTATGTTGGTTTTTGGAGCCAGAGGTGACTCTGTTTTGAAGTCAGTCACAAATTTTTAGGCACTTTAACATTCAGGACCCGCTTTACTGTCCCATTCTTCTTGTTGGTGCTTATGCATTTGTGCCAACTCCCATTCTACCTGCCATCTAACAAGGACTTTGTAGTTTAGCTTAAGTCCTAAAATGACACTAAAGAGGAATGCTTCGTGTTCCTCTTTAGCGTTAGGACAGTATATAGTATACATGGTGGCTGTGTTGTTTTTGGACTACTGCCCATTCAGATTAAGACATTAAAAAAACATCTGCTTGGGTTTTAGAACATTAAACAATTATTAAATAGAAATTAATCACCAGTTGCTTTGATGTCCTGCTTTTTACATTCCTATTATTGGAAGCCTTTACAAATCTGCGACCCATCCTGGTCGCTGATGTTTAATATTAGCCAACATATCGGTCCAACCCTAGCAGGCGAGGATGTGCACGCACGCAGAGGTTTACAATAGCACACTGCTCAGGTCTGCTGCGCTAAAACACCACTGAACTCATAATCAGTGGGGAATAGGCTGCTCGTCAGCAGCAGGGGTGTCACTGGGGTCTTTTTCCTGTATGTGCAGTGCAGTGCAGCGCTGATGGTGGTGCTGAAAACGAGGGCTGGAGAAGTGCTTACTCATGTCTCCTTTCCTCTTCACAGTCACCAGAAAGAGAAAAGCTCCAGTTGTGCTTGTACCCTCCATCTCGCCTGGTCTCTGATCTATCCAGGGCTTGAATTGAATAATAAATCAGACTCATGTCAGTGCACGGAAACAAGACACAGGCATTAGCTGAAATGACCATTTATAGGATGCCCCGCAATTCACGGGCTGATCCTTTCACCTAGAAGATATGAAAAGCTTGGTAATAATCAGCAAAGACGGGAACCTGCTGCAGCGTGGCGACAACAGGAATACACTCACGTCACTGCAATGAAGTGTGATCAAACAGCAAATTTCTAATCATTTTACAGACTTAATTACTCCGTTAGCATCAATGAGAAAGTGTGACAACGATGCCAATTTGTGTCTCTAAATAAAGATTATTAAACAGATGCCAAATGTGATAACCTGTGACATGAGAGTAGAATTCATTCATTTTACGAGCAACTGGAAACTACATTCAAATCAGTGGGAATAACCTGGAAGTCCTGCAGAAGATGTCTGACATTTCCTCCAACAAACAAAACTGCTTTTAAATGTTTGTACCAAGTCTTGAAGGTTGGAGGTAAAGAGGTTTGTAGTGCGTAAAGACGTCACTGATGTCTGTGAATGTATGAATGAATGTGAGAGGCAGTTTAATGCCTCCAGCTAAGCTTTGCTGTGGATTCATCATCTCAGGATGGACCTTCAGCGGTGACTACATGTGACAGTAAACTCTGATGTGTGTTACTGACAGAAACATATGCAAGTAGTCTGTTACCGGTGACCTTAACTTGACAGGTTTCATGTGATAAAACACAGTGAGCAGCTGTCCATGCTCTGCATTATCCATGAGTTATGGGGTTAAAATAAACAGCTGCACAATCATATTTAAAATGAATAAAAATCTGTTTTTCCAGGCAGCCTGGCAAACAGAATCTGGGAGGCTTTACAAAGAGATTCACAGAACACATTTTTAAAAATACAGTACATACTCTGAAAACTGAGTTATAGCTCAAATTTTTCTCAGAAAGGTGGCATTTTGAAAACAAGCGGCTGCTGGTTAGAAAGGTAACCGGCTTAGAGCCATCTTTTATCCTGGAACAGTCACTATATCCTTTAACAAGAAGCTTAAGCCTCAAGCAGCGTCCAGCTTTCTCCACGAAGTCTCATTAAACATGTGAATACCCATATTAAGTTTAAGGGGAACGGAGCTTCTTTTATGTCAGCTGCACGTTTTTCTTCACCTTTGTGTTTGTTTTGTTAAACTCGCGCCTTCTCTCTGTCATGCTGTGACATGCAACCTTCTTAGGAATTAATACCTTATTTTGGTGTTTGTGTGTCCCTAAACCTCCTCAAGGGAGAAAAATATTTTTAAAATTTGCATATTAGTTTGAATCACTGACCAAAAACAAAAACACCGGAGACAAATACCAACGCAAAAACATCTGCTGGATGTCGCCACAAACGCTTGACTTCCTGTTTCCCCCCAAAAATTAACCGATTTACTTTGAAGCGGATTTCAAAACCACAGCACCCAGCAGGGAATTCAAAGGTGGAAGAATTTTACTTCAGTAAACCAGGAAAAAACAAACCTAACAGTTATTAAACAGGCTGCATTTCAGCTGATTTATTCCATCTAGGGGATCAGAAAGTGGACAAACTGATGGCATCATGTTAATGCAGGTTATCCGTCTGGCTGCAGGCCCAGCAGCTAAACAATTAGGTCCCCTCGGTTCATACAGGCATGCTTTTTTAAAGCTCTACCGCCAACTAACACTAATTCTGAGGCCACTGCCCCCCAAGTGTCCCGCATAAAACTTGAGGCCTGGATTAGGAGAGACAAGCAGCTGAATATTTTCATCTTGTAAGGAAAAACACTGCTCTATTTTTAGTGACTTATCCA